ACGAGCAGGTGGCCTCCAAGGCCGAGAGCTCCCGACAGGTGGCCCGGGTGCCCTCGGTGTCAGCTCTGAAACGCGGACTCTGAGCCGCGGGCGTCTGTGCGTCGCGAGCGCCGGGTGCCCTCTCAGAGCCCTCACGTGTGTGTGGCCTTTGGGATGGCTGGGGCACGCTACTGGGACTTTTGAAGGAGGGTTCTGATGTCGCGTGTCTGTGGGTCTCCTCTGGCCTTGCTGCCGGCCCCGCGTGGGACAGGGACGGCTGGACCCCCTCGTCGCGCGCAGAGAGCTTCCCTGGGCTGCAGGTGGCCGGACGGACCCTGTGCGTCCCCTGCTCACTTGTCTCTCCTCCGTGTAGAAATACACGTACATTTAAGGCAATAGCTAGTCCAGGAGAAATGACTAAAAACATTGTCGTTTTAGCTTGAGCAGAGAGAACGCTGTGTTCGGGTGTGCGGAGCGGGTATGGGTGGGTGTTGGCTTTGAAGACGCGCGCGCCCCTGCAGGGGTCATGCGGGCTCTGCCTTTAGCCTTTCTCTGCCCCGGACACCAGGTTCTGTGTGCTGAGCGGCCCCGCAAGCCAGGCCAGGGCCGGACACAGAGGGACAGAGTGCAGGGGAGGGGTGGGAGGAGGGGGACTGGTGGGTGCAGGTGCCGGCCCTGGGCTGGCGGAGCACGCTCCCCTCCCCCGTGAGCCCAAGGGCCCATGTCTCCCCTCCCCGACTCTCCTGTGGACCCTCTGTTAACAAAACCCGTAACTACAAAGTCCACCTTCCCTCCCTCGTGGGATGCTGGCGACAGACTCTCGGCCCCTGCTTAGGACCCACGGGGGCCGTGAACATGCTGGGCCACCAAGGGAAGCGGCTCATTCCTGAAATTTTGATTTGAGAACCTTAGCTGCTTTCGGGAACCAAGAGTTCAGAAACATGGGGAAATTTGGCTTAAAAGCAAAATGTATAAAAATGAGATCCGGGCCCTCCCCAACCCCTGGAGTCCCACAGTCTCAGGAGAGTCCGGCCAGAGCCTGTGAGTGAAGCTGGAGGTTGAAGTGATTCATTTCACTATGACATGAAGTTTAGTTTTTTTTTTTTTAAAGATTTTATTTATTTATTTGACAGAGAGGGAGAGACAGCGAGAGAGGGAGCACAGCAGGGGGAGTGGGAGAGAGGAAGGGAAGCAGGCTCCCCGCAGAGCAGAGAGCCCGATGCGGGGCTCGATCCCAAGACCCTGGGATCACGACCTGAGCCAGAGGCAGACACCCAACAACTGAGCCACCCAGGCGTCCCCGACATGAAGTTTTAAGCTCAATTTTTTTCAAAATGGTGATGAAAAAGAAACTCGTTACGTGAAAGTACCAAAATTTCACTTTAAAAGGACCCTCCGCCTGACTAGTTAATTTGCTTCTTTATAAATAGCCGTGAGCCGTTTGCGTGGCGGGAACAGTACAGTGTGCATCCGCAGATGCCGCGAGCACCGGCGAGGGCTGTGCCTGTGCGGCGTACGTCTGAGTTTTTAAATGTCATAAAAGACTAGTTTTCTCTTCGCTCCAGCTACGCGCAAAGAGGTGGTGTAGGCGTGTCTGTGTCCTGCATACGGATCCCAGGTGAAAACCAAAACTCAAATTGCCACACAAGTTTTAGGAAAAAAGCAGTAGTTTCCACCTTGGGAGCATTTTAGAGAAAACTTAAATATAAGGGAAAAAACCTTTCTCGTTAAATTAAATTGTGGTGTAGCAGCTCACCACATCCTGTCGCAGGGACATCTGACACTCAGCAAAGCGAAGGTTCCTCTTTCAGGTCTCTGACGAGCTCCGAGGGTCACATGTTACCTGCAGTTCAAAATACTCGACTAAGAAAAAACCCTGAGTGTCGGTGGAAAAGCTGAATAAGAAGATGGAAAGTATCAGTAGAGAGAAGACACTGTGGGAAACCGTCCCAGAGAAAGCCACCCCCGAAGTAACCAGCACAGTCCCCCGGGGGCGGCCACGCTCTCACAGGGACCTGGAACCGTGACCTCATGGAAGGGACGTGGGAGGCCGTGAGCAGGGCAAGGCCGGGGCGGCGGGGCCCCGATGTGCGCACCCTGCTCGCCGTCTGTCTGGGGACGGGAACCTTCGTGGCTCTCCCTGGAGGGCCACGGCGCGGGCTGTGTCTGTCTGGAGAACGTGGCTCTGTGGCCGTCCTGTCCTCGGTCGTGTGCGCAGTCTGGTGTGTCTGCTGTGCGCGTCCCGCCGGCCACCCGCCCCTTCTGTCAGCTACTCTGCACAGTCCTAGGGGACCTAGGGCAGGTCTGACGGTGTTCGCACATGTGTGCTGGTTCCTGACTGTGCTTCCAAGATGTCGGACCCATCCTCACCCTCCATCATGGTGCCAGGCCTGGACCACAGGGCCGTCCGATGACCTGCCCCGTCCAGCTGACCTTTGTTGGGAGGCAGGCAGGCCTGGTGGCTCCTCAGGAACCAGCAGATCCCAGTGACGGAGTAGGAGTGCCACCCGCTCTCCCGAGATGCTCCTGATTGCAGGCTGGGGTCGCAGAGAGCCCATCAGGTGCCAGCACACAGGAGGGCCCCAGATGGCTCAGTGTTTTCCCCGTTCCCACCCACCACGGGCTCCCCCTGCCAGGCTCAGGTGCCCCAGTGGGCAGTGAGGGGAAGCCCACTTCTGAGCCTTCTTCCCCTTTTATCTTGTCTAACATGTGTTATTTGTCCTGTGGTCTCTGTAACCCTGAGAAACTAGAGAGTTTTGGCTGCCTTGCTTAAGCCTCCCTGATTCCATAGCATTATTACCTCTCAGCTCCCCCCATATTCCCGTCATTATTGCCCTCAGGCCCCCCTTTTCCCTGACGTTAGCACCCATGAGAATTTTCTCACCACCTGGTGTCTGTCCCTGCTGGATGGGATTTCTGGTCTGAGAACCCCTGTCCTTGCTGGTGGAATGAGCGCAGTGACCTGGTGTTGGTGTATGTCCTTGGGAGGCCCCATCCCTCGGTGGCAACCTGTCCATGCTGCCACGGTGCCAGAGGCCTCGTCCCTTGGTGTCACGGCTGAGTGTTGCAGCCCTGGACCCGGGGGTGCCAGTGGCGACTGGGCCGCTACCCCCAGCCACCCCGCGCTGGGCCAGGGCCCCTATGGCCACATGAGCCCTCGGACCTCCTGCCGAATCTGAATGATGTTAGGAAGACCTGCCGTGCCCGTGGCCCGGTGAGGGCTCAGGAGGAAATGAGAAGGGCCACCATGAAGCAACTTGAAGGGGCCACGTGCCACGCCAGCCACAGCAGTGTGCCACCGTCCCTGCCGTGTCAGCAGTCCCCGCCGCATTTGGTCATAAGGATGTCCGGCCCACTCTGCCGGAAAGCCTCTCCTTGGGGAGGCAACGTCCTAGGGACGCTCATAGTTGTTCTTTGTCCTTGTCATCATGTTCTTTGACACAGCGGCTCTGCGGAGTGCAAATTGGAGGCAAACAGTGATGTGGGAAGGAGCGTGGGCCCAGGCCTGCCCCCTTCCCACTGTGCCCTGGGACCCTGGCAGAGCGTGGTGCCCGAGGCCAAGGACACACTCCAGGTTGGGTGGCAGGGCATGCCGCGTGGTCAGCAGAGACGTGAGCTGCATGGTGCCCAGGAGGGGACCCGTCGTGCCCTGCCTTCCTGTGGGCCGTGGCCGGGCACTGGTCAGGGTCTCTAGCAGGTTGCCAGAGTGTCACAAAAAAACGGTCCGCCGCTGACGAGCTGCCCACGGGACCCTCCGGGGACGGGTGTCGTCCTGAGAGCGGGTCTGTGCACTGGGCCTCACTGTTGCCTCATAAGCGGTCGCTCGGAGGGGACCCTGAGCCGGCCGGCAAGCCAGCCCCTCCCGTTGTCTCCGCTTGTGCGTCAGTGGTGTCCTCAGAGGAGGTGTGGCTGCGTGACCAGGGGTCACGCCTCCCATCCGTGTCCCCGGCAGCTGTGTCCTCCGCAGGCCGGCTGGCCTGGTGCCCCACCCCGGCCCACTGTGTGCTCCTGGTGTTTGCGCGCTGTGACTCACCGCCCCTCCACCCGGGCTGGGCTGGGGGACGGGCGGGCCTGGGGCTCTGCCACTGGGCTCCTGCTTGTGAAGCTGGTGCCAGTGGACTCCGTTATCAGCAGCGGTGACACAATTCCTGGCCACGTTTTATTATTGTTATTCTTCACAATAGCAGGGGGTGTTGAAAGGGCATTCGGGGGGGTCGTGCGGGTGACGACAGGTGTGCCAGCCGGTCGCTGCAGGAAGCTACCCCGGACGTGCCGGGGCCTCTGCAGAGACACAGGGAGTTTATCTGGGCAGCAAAGGGAAGCCCGGGCAGTTCCATGACGTGAGCACGTGTCCCCCACCTCCCAGTTCTGTTGGGAAAGTGGGCCGTGGGGATGCGTGCCCTATCTGGGGGCCAACTCAGGGGTGGGGAGAGGGATGTTGTGGAGCCTGCTTACGGCGGTCTGTGCCAGCTTCGCTCATTTCCTCTCCTGCCGCCAGAGGCCACAGGCAGATAGTGGACCCGGGCGAGGAAGCGGGAATGACGGAAGAGGCCTGAACAAAGGGAGGCCCCGGCTGCCTTGTGGTGGGTCCTCCTCTCGGACAGGGTCTGTCCGACCACGAGACCAGAGAGAGAGGCTCTCCTGGGCCTGGGTCTCCAGGACGTGCCTCTGCCGCCCCTGCTGGCTCTGCCCATGTAGACGCCCGCTGGGGGAAGACATGCGCACAGCCCCCCTCCAGCACCGGGAGCCTTTTCCCAGAACCCACGATCCAGGCATCAGTGTGTCGCCAACTTGACTGCGGCCAGCCTGGGCAGCCGCAGAGCAGGGCCCCGGGCAGTCACATGCTGGGGGCTTAGGACACCCTGGGCCCACGGCGGGGCGTGGGAAGGAGTCCCGTCCCTCAGGGCAAAGGCTCTTCCTCACGGGCTAAAGGCGTGGCTGATGGGATTTCTGGTTCTTACAAACAGTTCTGGGGCAGAGCGGTGTTTCCCTAACGGTCACTCTGTTGTGTTTTCTTGCAGTAAATGAAATAATACGGAATGATCTCTCCAGCACCAACATCCGATCGTAGCTGGCCACACGGAGCTCACGCGCAAGCCGCTTGGAGCCCGCTCGGCCGCCAACGGTCCCGCTCCCACACCAGGACTTCCGGGGACACCCAACGCACACCCGGCACCAGCCCAGCTCCCGCTAACCCAAGATTTGCCTCGCGCGCTCCAAGTAGTTCTGTGCCCAGGAGGACGGACCGAAGGGGGTGGGGCCACCGGTGCACCTGTCACGGGCCCCAGGCACCCCCGCCCTGGGCTTCAGGGCTGGAAGTGCCTTATTAACCGGACCTGGTTCCCCGGGGCGGAGCGTGGGGTCTGCCGCCAGGAGAGCGTGTATAGGAGCGAAGCTGTAAAGACATGTGGCCGTGCGGCTCTCTCTTCTGTGTGGGCTGGGAGAACCCCGGCCAGCAAGGCATTTTGAGGAGACCCAGCCCCCTTCCGAGCTTTCCCTGCTCCCCTTGGGCTGCAGCGTGCGACCTGCTGCCTCATTCAGCACGTTTCAGGATCTAAATCAGTGCGTTTCGGGATCTTTCCCGTCGTCCTCTTTCGCATCCCCTGCTCCCTCCCGTGTTACCGAAACTGTAGGATTGTTGACTGTAGCATGCTGGGGTTTTGTTTTTAATCTGGCTTTGAACGTGGTGCAGGTAAGATGGGAGCACAGGATACGCCGCGGGACAAAGGAGGTCTGTGCGCCCAGGACCGACCTGGCGTTTGCGTGAGTGCACGGCCAGCGGCACGCCTTTACGCACAAATGCAGAGTGACGGAGGGGGCGATGTGCGGCCCTCGCCCCGCAGGGGCTGCCACGTTGGCTGTACCCCGTGTCCGTTCTGGAAAATGCATCTGAAACAAAACCCGGCTCCCCGGCTCTGTCCCCGGGGCCCATCTCCCGTCCGCCGGGTCTGCACTGTCCTGTGGGGTGTGGCGGGCTGAGCTCGTCAGAAAGCCGGGAGAGGTGCGTTCTTGGTGCCCAGATGTGCCCGAACGGCAGGCGGAAAGCAACTGTGCTGAGTGTCCAGGGGAGTGTAACGTGTTCATTCCGCTGCGAGATTTCCCTTCACAGAAGCCTTCCGACCGCGCTTCGTCTAAGGGAACAGTCACCAGAAATGGGTTCCTAGACAGCGCCTGCCGTGGGGTCCCGACTAGCCGCTCTGAACACCAGGTCAGCGTAGACGCCGCTGCTTCTCCCGCATCTGTACCGGCAACCGCCTGCATCACGTGACTGCTCGCCGGACCCGTCGTTTCACGTAACAAAAAAGCATGGTTCATTAAAACATGGTTCACCTGAAAGTTGTGCCTTAGGAGTCCAGGCCCCTCATGGAACACGCCTGAGCTGCACCCGCGGGCGGGCGGCGTGGGTCCTGACCCCACAGCACGACGTGAGGCCGGAAAGGATCTGCGCAGCGTCCTCCTGTGCGACCACGCGCCGTTTTTGTTGGACTCCCGGGAAGGACACAAGCCCGAAAGCCGTATGTGTACCCTCGCACACCGCCGTGAGAATGCCGGCACGTGGCTGCGCCCCAGCCACGGCCCGCCCGTCGCTCAGACCTCGGCCTGCCCTCAGCGTTCTAGGACTCGCATGACCCTCTTCTCAGTGGGCTTTCTGTGGGAAGGAACTGTTTGGTGTTTGTGTCCGCTGTCCTTTAGTTAGGAGATAGACCCAATAAAGCAATATTTTTTGCTGGACCTTAGTCTGCCAGTGACTTGTTACCTGTGAGGAACATTCTGCCGGGTTCTAAGTGATTTTCTGCTGTGGGTCCTCAAGCTCCTGCCATCTGTGTGGAGGGCTGAGTCCTAGCGGCACTGGCGTCCTCAGGACCTCCCCTGTGGCGGGCTGGCCATCCCCCTACACATGCGCGGAGAAGCCCGCCACAGGGGAGGGGACGTGCAGCCGCACGCCCGGGTGCTCCAGCACTTTGCTCAGAAGGACACGGCGGGTGTCCGCGCCTCCCACTGGTTCCCTGAAGCCGCTCGGCCCCTGTCCCTGCCCAGAGCCGCTCCAGGCTCACGCGGGGAAACGGTGTTCGGTTTGATAAAACCAGATGAAACCCAGAATTTCTCCAGCAGTTACTGTTGAATTGTCAGAAATAGTATTTTTCTTTTAGGACTTTATAAAATGGAAGAATTCCTGTTTCTTTTGCTAAGATTGAGGCAAAGTTCTAGGGGAACCTCATCACTCAGCGTGTGTGGCTGCCGTGCGCCCGACCCCGTGGGAGGCAGAGCCGCCATGGCCAAGGGGCCTCCGAGGGGCGTGCAGGTCGCAGGGCGGGCGGGGGCCGTGGAGAAGAGAGGGGGCCCGCGGGGAACCCCAGAGCCTGCCGGATGCACAGTGAATTGGGAGCTCTGTCCACCCCAGGCTCACAGGCCACCGGAGCTGGGCTTGACTCCCTCAAGAATGCCCAGCAAGCTAGTAATTTCAAAGCGAGTTTTTCTAACCCTTCCCCCCCATTCTCAGCGTAGAAGTTTATATTCCAGAAACAAAACAGAAATCCGTGCAATAAGGGCGGTTCCTGCGGAGAGGCCGTGCTTCTGCGGACACCGTTTACGTCGCTTCATTTCTTTCAGGTGGATCTCGTGTAATCAGGCTCACCTCCAAGGCGTAGGTGCGCGGAGACCAGAACGTCTCCTGCGGAGCCGGGGTCGAGGTCAGCCTAACCCAAGCTGGCCGGGCCTCTGGAGCCTCGGGGCCCCTTGCCAGCCCTCCCCTCGCCTCCCTCAGCGACCGGGATCGCGCAGCATGTCCCCCAGAACTGTGTGCTGTGGGAGCAGCCGAGCCCGGGGCCGTGTGGCAGACCCTGGCTCACTTGTCCTCCCTCCGCTGCTGGGGTTCCAGCCCTTCCCACGTCTGAGACCGTGCGGCGTGGGAAAAGCCCAGGAAGCGTCCAAGCTCTCCTTGCGGCCGGCAGCAGCCAGGCCTGAGACTCCAAGCATGTCAGTCTCTCTGTTTCACAGGGTCCCCGGACCTGAGTGCCGGGGCCCCGACTCTGGCCTCAGGGATGGACCCCGTGGTGACTTCGGCTTTTGTGGATCCTGTGGCCGCCCTGAGCAGGGCACCAGCCAACGACATCACGAGGAGGCCTCTGCGCACCCGAGAACCGCGTCCCGTGCTGGGTGTAGAGGCTGCCGTGCTTGAGAGAAGCCGCCGGAGCCAAGAGGAGGCCCGTGTGGAACAGGGATTTAAAAAAATTCATAGAAGATGCAATTAAGCATTTTACAGTGGACGGTTCAGTAGCACATGGCACGTTGAGTATTGTGTGACGTCACCTCTGTCTGGTTCCAAGTGCTCTCGTCGCCCCGAAGGAAGGTGTGCCCCACAGAGCAGCCCCCCAGCACTGCCGTCGGCCAGTGTGTGTGGACTTCCGTGTCCCAGTGCTTCCATGGGGGACCCGTAGGGCCGGCAGCCTCCTCCACTCACGATTCGCGCACATGTCGGTGTCTCTCAGGACGTCACGCCGTCGCGTGGCCAAGCCTGACCACGATGTGTGGACAGAGCAGGTCTGCAGCCGCCGCCCCTCTGGCTCTGGGGACACGCACAGGGGCTCCCGTCTGAGCCCCGCCGGCTGCTCCGGGGTCCGCCGCTCGGAGTGCGAGTCCTGGGGCTTCAGGGACGGCGTGTCTTCCTTTGGGAGGACGGCTTTCCCGTTCTCAGTCCTAAAACAAGGCCTCGCTGAGACAGATGCTGGCGCTGGGTCGCCAACTGAGCTTGCAGGCACGTGTGCAAAGCCTGCCCTCGCTATGGTTCTTTGTGCCGAAAACACTGAGTTAAGAACTCGACGCCTAACTGCGGGCGTAGGTCCTCCGGCATCCGCGCCGTCCCGGTGCGGCCAGAGCACCAGCGCCGTCTGACTTCACGCCCACGAGGGACGTGGTGCGGCGGCCTGGGTGAAGGTGCCCAGTGTCCTGGGAAATGAGCGCAGGCTGAAGACGGAGGCGATCAGCTCGGCGAGCGCCCTGCCAACCCAGTGCTCGGTGTCCTGACCTTCCCACGAGCACAGCCGCTGTTTTCTGCGCCGGTCACCTGCCGCCAGCTGCCGTCTGTCGCTGGACCCTCGCTTCTCTGACCAGAGCCGGGCGTCTCCTCATGCAGCTGAGCACGGTTCCAGGGTTCCAGGGTTCCAGGCATCAGGGCCGTGCCTCATGCTTCCCAAAAGGAGGGGGACATGCTGGTGGGGACCTGTTCTAGAGAGCCCTTCAGTCACATCTAGGAGGAGGGAGCAGCCTGCGGCCCTTCCCTCCAGAGGGACTGTCCCCACAGCCGGTCGGGCCACGCTCACTGGGAGCGCCCCTACCCACAGACACTTGTCTGGAAGGAGTACATCTTCTAGACCGTCTGTGGCTTGTCTCCAAAGGGCTTGAGCCGTGACTTTTGTCGTCGGGGTTCCTGGAAGCAGCATCCCTGTCCACGAAGCCCCGTCTCCGGGGGGAGGGGAGCTGAGACCCTGGGAGGCCCAGATGCCACCATTAGAGAATCATTCCTGGGGCGTGAAGTTTACGAGTGAACCCTGTGGTGGGAGGGTGCTCGTGCCCCGGTGTGAGGGGGTCTCCCTGTTTTCCTGGGAGCTGGCGCCCCTGGAAGGCGGCAGGAGCTCTGAGCCCTGAGGAAGGAGCGGGACCAGGTCTGCCCTGAAAACACCTGCTGAGGCCAACAAAGCCACGGCCCCTGCCATCTCCCGGCACAGCCCGTGTGGATGGTAGCCCCTCAGGGACAGCCAGGCCCAGCCCTCTTTTCACACCTCCATGTGCAGATGGCCACGGCCAGACACCCCCTGCTGCCGCCCACAAAGCTGTGGGGACGCGGATCTCTGATTTGGGGGACCCTCTTCTCCTCCTGCAGAGAAATGATTTACAGTTTGGTGTACTCAGCAGCCTTGTATGACATGGACCAAGTACCCTTTTGTGTGGGGCACGTTCTAGAAGCTTAGTGCGTCCGTGGACAAGCCTTCTTCCTGGGGAAAGGAGTCATTAACCTCTGTACCCTGTGGGTGAGCCACGGGCCGTCCGATAGGGTGGGGAGAGCCACGGGGAAGGACGTGCCGGGGGCAGACAGCGGGGTTTGGGGGGACCTCGCAGGAAGGCGGCCGTCGAGCCCGCCCATGGCAAGGTGAGGTTGTCCTGGGCAAGCGCGTCCCAGGGGAGTGACCACACGTGCAGAGGTCCTCGCGCAGCTGCTCCTGCTGCTCATGGGAGGCTGGGAGGGGTGCAGACCCACAGACACGTGAGGTAGAGGAAGAGAGGACAGACCAG